GAGCGAAACTCTGTCTCAAAAAAAATAATAATAATAATAATAAGATTACATCAAACTAAACATATCCTGCACAAGTAAGAAAATAAACAGAAAGAAAAGGCAGCCATAGAATGGGAGAAAATATTTGTAAACCATATGTAAGATAAAGAGTTACAGTGAAGCCATTATGGAAAATAATACAAAAGGACCTCAAAGAATTGAAAATGGAACTACCGAATGAACCAACAATCCCACTTCTAGATATGTATCCAAAGGAAATCAATATCTCAAAGAGGTATGTGAACTCCCACATTCACTGCAGCGTTATTCCCAATAGGCAAGATATGGAAACAACCTAAGCATGCATGGATGTGTGATGGATAAAGAATATGTGCTATTTATACATCCATATGGATAAAGACAGTGATACATATATGTCTATATCAATAAAGAAAATATATATTTATCTGATAATGTAAGAAAATGTAATACACATATATGTATGTATCTTTATCATACATATATCACATTTTCTTTATTCATTTGTTCATCAATGAACACTTAGGAGGTTGTTTCCAGATCCTGACAATTGTGAATAATGCTTCAATGAACATAGGTGTGCAGATATATAAATGTAGATGCAGGCATACCTTGGTGTTCTGCAGGTTCAGTTCAGATGTCTGTGGCAGTTTCTTAAGAGAGCAATAAAGGTTGCTACATTAATTGACTTTTCGTGAAAGATTTCTCTGTAGCATGTGATGCTGTTTGATAGCATTTTACCCCCAGTAAAACTTCTTTTAAAATTGAAGTCAGTTCTCTCAAACCCTTCTGTTGCTTTGTCAACTAGTTTATATAATATTCTAAATCCTTTGTTGTCATTTCAACAATGTTCACCGTATCTTCAACAGGAGTAGAATCCATCTCAAGAAACCACATTGTTTATCCATAAAAAGCAACTCCATCCATTCAAGTTTTATTGTGGGATTGTAGCGTTTCAGTAATACCTTCTAATTCTAGTTCTAGTTCTTTTGCTATTGTAAACCACATCTCTTGGATTCCTCAGTCAGTCACCAGTGAGGATTGAAATCAACTTCTTCCAAACCCTTGTTAATGTTGATGTTTTGACCTCCTCAAAATGATTCATCATTCAAGATGAATCATGCATGTTCTTAATGGCACCTAGAATGGGAAATCCTTTTCAGAAAGTTTTCAGTCTACCTTGCCAAAATCCATTAGAGGAATCACAATTTCTGGCAGGAATAGCCTTACAAAATGTACTTCTTAAATAATTAGGCTTGAGAGTCAAAATTACTTCTTGGTCTATAGGCTACAGAATGAATGTTGTGTTAGCAAGCATGAAAACAAAACTAATCTCCTCGTTCACCTCCATCAGAGCTCTTGAATGACCAGGTGAATTGTCAATGAGCAGTAATATTTTTGAAAAAAAAATATTTTTTATTTCTGATCAGTAGATCTCAACAGCAGAATTAAAATATTCAGTAAACCATGCCGTAAACAGAAGTGCTTTCATCCAGGCTTTGTTGTTCCATTGACAGAGCACAGACAGAGTTGATTTAACCTAACTCTTAAAGGCCTTAGATTTCAGGAACAGTAAATGAGCACTGGCCTCAAATGAAAGTAATTAGCTGTCTTAGCCCCTAACAAGAGAGCCTGCTATCCTTTGAAGCTTTGAAGCCATGCACCCTCTCCTCTCTAGCTATGAAAGTTGTAAATGGTATTTTGTTCTAACAAAAGGATATTTCATTTACTTTGAAACTCTTTTATTTAATGTAGCCACTTTCATTCACGATCTTAGCCAGAACTTCTGGGTAACTTTCTACAGCTTCTCCATGAGCATTTGCTGCTCATCTTGCACTTTTATGTATGGAGGCAGTTTCTCTCCTTAAATCTCATGTACCCATCTCCGCTAGCTTCAAACCTTACTTCTGTACCTTCCTCATCTCTCAACATTCATAAAATCAAAGATAGTTAGTACTTTGCTTTAGATTAGGCTTTGGCTTAAGGAAATATTGTGGCTTGTCTGATCTTTTGTCCAGACCACTAAAATTTTCTCCATATCAGTTATAAGGCTGTTTTGCTTTCTTATCTCTCATTTGTTCATTGGAGCAGTGCTTTTAATTTCCTTCAAGAACTTTTCCCTTTTATTCACAAGTTGGCTATTTGGCATAAGAGACCTAGCTTTCAGCCTATTTTGTCTTTCACTGTGCCTTCCTCATTAAGCTTCATCATTTATAGCTTTTGATTTAAAGTGAGAAACATGTGACTCTTCCTTTCACATGAACACTGAGATGCCATTATAAGGTTATTAACTGGCCTAATTTCAGTGTTGATGCATCTCAGGAAACAGAACCAAGGAAAGAGAAAGAGATAGGAAATGCCTAGTGGTGGGGAAGTCAGAACACACACAACATTTATTAAGTTCACTGTTTTACACGGACATGATTCTTGGCACCCCAAAACAATTACAACAGTAACATCAAAGAAAATTGATCACAGATCACCAGAACAAATACAGCAGTTTGAAACATTGTGAGAATTACCACAAAGTGACAGAGACACAAATTGAGCACATGCTATGGGAAAATACGGCACTGACAGACTTGCCCCAGGCAGGGTTGTCACAAAACTTCACTTTGTTCAAAAAATGCAATATCTGAGAAGCGCAATAAAGTGAATTGCAATTAAATTAGGTATGCCTGTATAAAGATATATGTAATATTATTTAGCCTGGACAAAGAAGAAAATTCTTGCATGTGCAACAACATGCATGAACCTAGAGAACAAAGTGAAATAAGCACAACAAAGACAGACAAATACCGTATTATCTCACATATGGAATTTTAAAAAGTAAAACTCAATAGAAATGGAGTAGAAGGGTAGTTACCAGATGTCAGGGAGTGGGGAAAATAGGGAGATATTGATCAAAGGGTACAAACTTGCAGTTTCAAGATGAATTAGTTTCAGAGATCTAATGTACAGCACGGTGACTATAGTTAAAAATAATGCATATTTGAAATTTGCTAAGGGAGTAGATCTTAAGTAATCTCTCCACGGGGGAAAAAAGGTAACTTTGTGAGGTGATGGATTTGTTAATTAGCAGTTTGACTGTGGTAATTATTTCATTTTGTGATATCAAAATATCACATTGTATACCTTGCATAATACAATTTTTACATGTCAATTATACCTCAATAAAGTTAAAAAAAAAAAAGCTAATAAAGCTTAACAGGTTTGCTTTAAGAAAAAAAACAGCAGCAAAAATTTGGCAAAGTTTGCTGCAATCTAAGTTCTTGGCTTCATCATCTTGGAACTTCTTTCCAATAGTCCCAACAAAGGTTTTGTTTATCTTCTTTTGTGTTTGTTTACTTTATTGTTTTTATTTATTTATTTAGGCAGGTCTTGCTCTGTTGCCCAGGCCAGAGTGCAGTGGTGTAATCACAACTCACTGCAGCCTCAACCCTCTGGCTTCAAGCAATCTTCCCACCTTAGCCTCCCAAATAGCTGGAACTATAGGCGTACACCACCAAACCTGGCTAATATTTTTAATTTTTTGTAGATATGGGGTCTCACTATGCTGCCCAGGCTGATCTTGAAGTCCTGGGCTCAAGCAATCTTCTCACTTCAGCCTCCCAAAGCACTGGGATTACAGGTGTGACCCAGCACACTTGGCCTGTGTTTATTTTTTTCTTCCTGAGGGTTAACATTCATAGATAATCTAAGAAGTAATTCTCACTTCAATTCATCTACTTATACATCTGATTTTCCTCTTCCATATTAAATCTTCTTTACTTAAGAACACAGGGTAATCCCTGGTTTCTAAAACTCACATCACCACCTAAGATCCAGATGCCCTTGGCAAGTTACTTCACTCCTCAAGGACTAACTTTCCTGCTTTATAAATCAGGGCTTGTATCTACTTTGTGACAGTTGCTAGGAAGATTAAATGATATGTTCTACATAAAGTGGTTGGGTATTATCGGCACATGGTAAGCACTCAGCCATATTGGTATTACTCGTGTCATTAAGAAAATGAGTTCTAGAACACGTTCTAGGGATCTGCTGTACACCACGGTACCTATAGTTGACAATAAAGTATTGTACACCTTAAAATACACTAAAATGATAAGGCTCATGTAAATTTCTGGGACCAACAAACAACAAAAAACACAAAACAACACAAGGAATGGTTGAAGGTGATGAATATATTTAGTACCTTGATTTTGATGATGGCATTACACATGTCCAAACTCGTGAAAATGTATATACATTAAATATGTGCAATATTTTATATATCGATTACATCTCAATGAAGATTTTAAAAAATTTTTTATAAGATTATCAGGCATTCTGTCACTTCAGATTCAAGCCTCATTAATTGCAGCTTGTGCTGTTCTTTTAACATTAATTTTAATATGCATTTGGGCACCTTTGCACAAACCAAGATCTTAAAAAACATTTAAAAATATTTCAGCAGTACTCAGGTTGGCATTTGATCATTTTCTCTCACACTTCAATAGTTTTCCATCCAGATTTTATTTATTTATTGTGTGTGTGTGTGTGTGAGACGGAGTCTCACTCTGTCACCTAGCCTGAAGTGTAGTGGCTCAGTCTCAGCTCACTGCAACCTCTACCTCCTGCCTCCTGGGTTCAAGCAATTCTCCTGCCTCAGCCTCCTGAGTAGCTGTGATTACAGGCACCCGCCACCATGCCCACCTAATTTTCTTTTTTTAGTAGAGAAGGGGTTTCACCCTATTGGCCAGGCTGGTTCAAACTTCTAACCTCAAGTGATCCAACTGCCTGGGCCTCCCAAGGCACTGGGATTACAGGTGTAAGCCACTTTTAACTTTTAACATTTAACTTTTCCTTAGAAATAAGCCTGCCAACATTTTTTTCAATGTATCAACACAGAAGATATTCACTATTAAATAAGATCCACATTATTTCCCTTACTTCACCTTAAAAATATACATCATAAATACAGATGTACAATGGACAAGGAATTTCCTCCAAACACTTTATTCAACAGAAATTATTACAATAGGCTTCAAAGTAGAATCCAGGAGACACGTTGTTAATCACTCTGGTTTCCTTTATCAGTATCATAATCCTTTTTTAAAAAAACAAACACAAATGAAATAACTGGTGGCATTAGCCAAACATTACGCTGTGTCCTTCCATCTCTATCAAATAATGACATAGGAGTGACATAACTTTGTCATGTTTAATGGTCGTATCCGTGAAATAAAGGACAGTGGTATAAATAACTGACATGCAGAAAAAGAGAAAGCATAAGAAATATTAAAAGAGCTGCTGTTTATGAAGCTCAAGTTCTTGATTACCGTTGCTAGGAAGGTTGCTCACTGACCAGCTTCCTTCAGTCAACGCCATATCCTACAGGTATTATCCTTGCTCCCTAATAAAACAGATTTCACAGAGTTATATTTTCTTCATTTCATTCACCTCATTCTCCCTTTCTACAAGTTGACATTTTCTGGTCTTTGGCAATTAGCAATGTGTTAAATGGGCTAGGTTCTCCGTGGCTAGCTGCAGAGTCTTTGAGCAGATCAAGCATTTTTGAAGTAGTAATTTTGTTTTTCATGATACCAGCTAGTTGTAAATTAAGCAGGCACACATCCTGCTCACACTAGCAAGATTCATGGCTTCTTAGAATGAAAGAGAACCTAAGAAGGAAGCCACCTCAGTCATCCCCTCTGCCCTCCCCTCAAACATCCCCACCCAGTGGAAGTACAGTGACTTTTTTTGAGACAGAGTCTCACTCTGTCGCCCAAGCTAGAATGCAGTGTCACAATCTCAGCTCACTGCAACCTCTGCCTCCCAGGTTCAAGCAATTCTCCTGTTTCAGCCTCCCCAGTAGATGGGACTACAGGTGCATACCACCACGCTTGGCTAATTTTTGTATTTTTAGTAGAGATGGGGTTTCATCATATTGGTCAGGCTGGTCTCGAACTCCTGACCTCAGGTGATGCACCTGCCTCAGCCTCCCACAGCGCTGGGACTACAGGTGTGAGTCACCTTGCCTGGCCTGACTTTGAAAATCTCCAGGTTTGGGTGATAAGCCTAGGAGGAGGCAAGACATATCACTTTGGAACATTTCAAAATTTTAGGAGTTTTTTCTCACCTTCAGGAACCAGGCACATAACATCAATATAAGAAGTGTGAGTACCTTAGGAACTAGGAAAGCCTATAAAAATCATATCCCGTTGGGCAGCCAGTTAGCTCAGTTGGTGAGCTAAGCAACTTCCCAACAATAATTCATAAAAAAAAAATTTAAAAACATATCCCACAAAACGACACTTCACATTTCAAAAAATGTAAAGACCATGACAGCTACTTTTCTGCCATCTACTCTGTGATTCTAAACCCAGCCTCTGGCAACCCACTACAAAATGCCCACAGTTAATCACACTGGGGTCTACTCAGAAAATAGAGTAGGTTCTTTCCAATAAAGTGATTGCTTTATCGATGGCAATACAGGAGCGTCACACCATTCTAATAAGCTGTTGTCTAGTGAGCCAATGTTAAGCACTTGGTTCTTTGGGATGCATTAAATTAATCAGTAGTATTTTAGAAGCGCTCAGCAATTGATGTGCCAGCACCAAAACAAGGCATAACAACTAGTATTCTTTCCCTAAACTCTCCAGGGTCTTCCGTGAAAACTGGTTGAGGGAAGCAGTACTGCAGAGCCAGCCTCACATGAGGCCATTTGGACCAGGAAAGGCTGGTCTTCCTTCTTTCTCACTCCCTGCAGGCGCCCTGTGCTCTCTATCATAGCCCCATTTGATATTGTGTTCACAATAAAAATCTATGGCTTATTTTCCCAGTGCTTTTGAAGTACCTACATCTTAGTTAACACTAGAAAATCATAATCGCAAAGATTTTGAAGATCATAAGATCAGAATGCTCTTCTCCCCCCAAACATTAGTGCTTTAGCAGGGGACAACTGAAGAGAAAACGACTCTACTCAAAGCCTAAATCTCTAATGGGCTGGAGAGCCAACTGGGGAGAATTTTGATCCTGACTTGTTTTGGTTGCTAACACTGACTGACATAAACTGAATTTTTTTTCTTGTGACAGGATCTTACTCTGTCACCCAGACTGGAGTGCAGTGGCATGATCATAGCTCACTGAAGCCTCCGACTCCTTGACTCAACTGATCCTCCAGCCTCAGCCTCCTGAGTAGCTGGGACTACAAGTACATGCCACCATGCCCAGCTAATGCTCTATTTTTTGTAGAGACAGGGTCTCATTATGTTGCCCAGGCCGGCCTGAAGCATTCTTTCTGCCTCAGCCTCTCAAAGCATGGAGACTGTTAGCATGAGCCGATGTGCCTGGCTGACTAAATGTTAAGCCCCAGCTGACAAGACAACAACTGGGGAAATTCAGTGACCAGTAAGGCAGGCTATCCAACTGTTACCTTATCTAGCGCAAACAAAATTCAAAGTTCACAAAGCCCTACTACAGTCAGCGGCAGAGCTTACTCCTGCAGGTCCTAATAAAACTAAAGTTAAATAATGAAAGTATGAGGGCAGGCCAAGATGAGCTAGTGACCCCAGAAAAGAGGTAGGGGATGGGGATAAGCTCTTTTTAGTATTAAGCTTGGGAACTCTAACAGCCAATTAAGAAAAAATACATCTTGGTATTGATGTCTTCCATACCTGTAATGACTATGTTGCCTGTATAGTTGAAAGCACATGAAAAGATTTCATCCGTGTGCCCCTCAAGAACCTGGAGGCACTGGCCAGTCTGAGCATCCCAGATTCTAGCCGTTTTGTCAGAGCTGCCAGTTAGAAGACGGTTCCCTTGAGGGTTGAAAGAAATCTGCAAAAGAGAAAGAAAATTGATCACAGCTTTGTGTAATGGTTCCAAATATATTTTTTACCAGCAAAAAGGGAGCATTACTAAGCACGTCAGCTTCCTAGTCTTGGTATTTATTCTTGCATAGAACCATTTCTTCATGATGGAAAAAATATATTTCAGGGACTAATACATGGAAATTAAAATCCAGAGAGAAAATTTAACTGTCTACTCCTCACATTTGTAAGAATAAAGACCAAAGCATCCTCATAATTTAAATATTCCCCACCCAGCTTCTTTCTAAAGATGCACGATGCCCTCTCCATGCGAAGAAGAAGGGCCCTGGGGCAGATGAAGTCCACACGAGTCAGGTTCCCTCATAGCCAAACACTGGTGTCATCTTTGTGGTCAAAAGCATACAGATCCAGGCTGGGAGCAGTGGCTCAGGCCTGTAATCCCAGCACTTTGGGAGGCCCAGGTAGGCAGATGTTGAACTCCTGAGATCAGGAGTTCAAGACCAGCCTGGCCAACATGATAAAACCCCATCCTACTACAGATCCGAAAATTAGCCAGGCATGGTGGTGTGTGCCTGCAGTCACAGCTACTCTGGAGGCTGAGGCAGGAGAAGTGCTCGAACGCAGGAAGTGGAGGTCACAATGAGCCGAGATCGCACCACTATACTCCAGCCAGGGTGATGGAGCAACACTCCATCTCAAAAAAAAAAAAAAAAAAAAAAAAAAGCACACAGATTCTTCTCTAATCTGTGCCAAAGAATAAGTGAATGTCAGAACCTGTAAGAAAGGATGCTCTCATCTACTGCCACCCCAAGTATAGCATTTCCATAAATATGCTTCTGTGCCTCCCATGTGCCAGGTGCTGCCAAGTAGTATCTGAGTGACCCTCAAAGGAACGTGTTAGTCCTGCATTCCTTTGGGCATCACGCTTACATCCCTCTCTAATCACCAGAAGATAGTGATTCAGGCCATCTCCTCGACGACTGAAGGTTTGAGGAGGGCAGGGCCATATCTGTTTTATCACAGTGTTACCAGGGGCTGTACAATGCCCAGCACACAGAACACTCTCTAAACGTGTTTGCTGACTGAGTGAATACTTTAGCTTTGCACCCCATAGAAATGCCCTTACCAGATGCCAATTCAGTAAGTAATATGTTCACTTAAAAAGCATAAAATTTAAGAAAATAGCACTAGAGAATTATTTATATTCAGTCATTCGTGAAAATAGACATGTACTTCTGGAGGGGACACCCCAGACGTATCAATAGCTACCTAGCCAGACACTCAGAAATGTGGGCCGGGCTTCCTCCTCATCCTACTTGCCCCACCCCACTTTTCCATCCCCTCCTGCCATCCATAAGCCTCCCAGCTTATGAAGACGCCATGGTGTGCATGCCCTGGAGACCACCACTGACCAGCCAGAGAGCAATGACCACCAGCAGTAGGTTCAGAGGCAGGAAGCCCAAGAGTACAGCATGGGGCAGAGTTCCAGGGTCTAGATGGAGCCTTCAGAAACCTAAAGTCATTAAGCTGATGTTTTATAAAGCAAGAACAAATCTGACCTCAGACAGGAAACCAAGGATTGTGCTGAGGTGGGAGGTGAGAGCCACCAAGTCCTAGCCTTCTCTATGAAGTTCTGATGACACATCTAAACTTCAGACTGCTGACTGGGTAGGCCTGCTCTGTGAATGATCTTTTGGGGGAAGTTTATACAAAATCCTAAGATACAGCTTTGTAGTTCCAAAATGGATAATTTTATACTTTAGGTGTTAAATGTTTTCAGAAACTACTTCCTCAATTGCATCTAATTTACAGAGCACTTGATACTTGCTACACAGCATATTTTTTGCCCAATATAAATGTATGTGTTTGCCAGAACCAGGAAAAGCACTTTACACACTCCTTAAATTAGTGTATTAAATATTTTCAGCTAACTAAATCTTTTGCTGACAGAGGAGAATGCTGTTCCATACTTTTCAAGAGGTTTTCAAAATCATTTATTATTCTAAGCTTGAGGACACAGTTAAAATTAAAGTCTTTAGGTAAGTGATTTCTAGAAAAAAATGAGACAACTGAACAAACCTTAGTACTTACTTCAGTTCCAATAGACCTACTTACACTAAGCATGCTCTTTTTTTTTTTTTTTTATAAGGTTTGCTTTGTTACCCAGGCTGGAATGTAGTGGTGCAATCACAGCTGACTGCAGCCTTGACCTCCTGGGCTCAAGCAATCCTCCTGCCTCAGCCTCTAGAGTAGGTGGGACTACAGGTGCACAACACCATGTGCAGCTAACTTTTTTGTTTTTTATAGAGATGGGGTATCCCTATATTGTCCAGGCTGGTCTTGAACTCCTGGCCTCAACCAATCTTCTCACCACTCCCTCCCAAAGTGCTGGGATTATATGAGTGAGGCACTGCACCCAGGCCTTGCTCTTTATTTTTTTAAAGTAAATACACTTTTCCAAATGAGAAAGTAACTCACTTTTGAAATATCGCCTTCATGGCCTTCCAGTTTGGCAATGCATTTTCTTGTGGCTGCACTGAAAATTCTTGCTGTTCCTTTTTGAGAGGGGTGGGGATACATATAAATTCATGTTAAATACAGAACTTTGGATAAAAGACCTTGCATTGTATAAATATCTATCCCTCTGACACATAAGCTCTGTGATAAGTTAGTCTTCTTGCCTGTGGTGAGAGCCAGATAGTTAGTATTCTAAATGCCAGCTGGTCCTATTGCAGGAGAGGGTGAAAGGAAGCTTCTCTCTAGCCCTGAGCTTATTAGAAGAAATAGTACATTCCAAGGTAGAAAAGAGAGTAAGAAACAGGAATCCAGAAAGAAAAACTTTAAGAGAAAAAGAAGAATTAAAGCAAGTTTCGAGAGGCAAGTGATGAAATACGCAGCAAGACCAGCATAATACACCAGGTGTGAGTCTGAGTTTCTGTGAGGTGCACAAGGAACATCCCAAGAAGGAGTATCGGCCGCTACTCAACAGGTAAAGAACAGGCTCCAAAAACCCTTTTCCACAGAAAAAGCTAATAGAATGCTTTGTTCCTCCTCTGCCTCCAGCAGCCAAAAGTGCCAAACATATAGTAGCCATTCAATAAATAGCTGTTGGATGGATGGACGGATGGACGGACGGATGTGTGGATGGATGGATGGACAGACGGGTAGATGGATGGATGATGGATAGAGAAATTGATGGAATAAGTACTATGGACATTTCCTTAGAAGTAAAGGATGAATACCCCAAAACCTAAAATGCAATAAAAGAAAATAAATTTAAAAAAAGAAAGAGAAAAAATTGAATAGTAAAATTTGTGTTGGAAGAAAAGTTACAATTTGCTTTGCCAGATGAAGGCTGCTTTTTTAAATCTCTAATTATAGCATTACATACTATTCAAATATAGCAAGGACACAAAATTGTAGGTACTTGATTTACATCCAGAGACAAGTAAAATATCTTAACAAATTATTTACTTGCCTTTCTCACAATGTCAACTTCACAAGGAAGTACACAAAATAAAACTTGCTATTTTAGAATTAAAGTGATTTAAAAATATATAACTTGAAATTTATTTGAACATTTCAAAAGCCTTAAAGGGAAGTGGCCAATTTGTTTTCAGAGTCAATAACATGAAAGAGAATGTCCTGCATAGATCTATACTCTAAATTTTATATAACTATATTTCTAAACTTCAGAAAACTCAGAAATAATATGGCTGGCAACACTGTAATTTTTTTACAGATAGGAATACAACTAAAGAAACAAAAAAAAAATCAGCCTTGAGAATAATTCCAACGAAGAAAAAAAAAAGGGTATACATATACATATATTTATATATATACATATATATATACACACACACACATAGATGTTGCTGCACAGGTAACTATTGGATGAGATCTAAATTTTAAGAAGGGAATTAGGAGCAAAGACCAGAGATAAATTTAAAAAGATTTTTCTAAGAATCAAGACTTTCTAGGAAACACAGAATGAGAAAAGGTTTACAAAACATGAGAAAAGAAAAAAAAAGATATTTCAAAGTAATGTTTTATTAAACAAAGGAAGAATAGAATCACCACGGCCAGAGCAAATGACAGATTATAGAGAAAACAAAACTAGAATTGAGACACGAGTATGGCATTACACATGGTCTGCCTCCCCCTTCACAACGTAACTTCACAAAAGCAGGGATTTCTATCTCTTTTGCTCACTGAAATATCCCATATTCCTAAAACAGTTCCTGGCACAAAGTAGATATTTTAGTACATATCATTGAGTAAGTCTTTCTATCAATGAGAATGATATTTAAAATTAAAAGGGTGGACTAATTACACAGTTAAGGTATGATTATTAAAAGCCAGTACCTGTAAGAAGACAAAAAAAAAAGTAAATAGTTATTTTAAAAAATAAAATTCTCCAGCCTCAGGATATTTTCATTCTAGGGTATAAGGAAGACTTATATGCATGAGCAAGGGATCACCTTTGAAAAGTCCTAGTGAGTAAGACAGCAAGCCTGCAAATGTAATTTTGAAGAGAGACAATGAAATACTGTATAATTACAATACATCACCAATGAAATTCTACACCTGATTATAACATAAGGATATGTGACTACTTAAAAGTATGTTAGTCACAAGGTGTTTCTGTCTTTACCAGAACTTTTTTATACAAGAATTTCCTTGCAGTCATAAAAAAGAATGAGTTCATGTTTTCTGCATGGACATAGATGAAGCTGGAAGCCATCATTCTCGGCAAACTAACACAGGACAGATAATCAAGCACTGCATGTTCTCACTCATAAGTGGGACTTGAATAATGAGAACACATGGACACAGGAAAGGGAACATCACACACCAGGGCCTGTCCAGTAGTGGAAGGCAAAGGGAGGGAGAGCATTAGGACAAATTCCTAATGCATGTGGTGCTTAAAACCTAGATGATGGGTTGATAAGTGCAGCAAACCATGACGGCACGTGTACCTAAGCAACAAACCTGCACATTCTGCACATGTATCCTAGAACTTAAAGTAAAATTAAAAATTAATAAGTAAAAATAAAAACCTTGCTCATAATCCCTCAGCCAGCAAATCACATATCTAAGTTCTACAACTTTGAGTTTGTCTACTCAGCAAATATAACCTTTGTAAGAGATTTTGAGGCATACAGGGAATAAAATTATACAATTATTAATTGAATAAAAAAGGACAACTGCTGTTTTAAAAAAGTTTTCTTATAAGTACTTTTTTTACATTTTTATTATTGACAAATAAAAATTATATATATTCAAGCTGTACAATGTGATGTGATGATTTCCTCATGCAAATAACCTATATTATGGCATCATAAATGTCACAAAGGAGCTGGTCCATATAAATAACAGGCATCATATTACCAAGAAGAAAAACATTATTCATGGTTTTCAACATGATGAAACAGACACAGTATAATGTCACATGTGGTTTTCAAGGTGATGACTCAAAAATAGAGAGGTATAGCACACAGTTATAAAGGAGATAATTTAGTATAATATCATCTGTAGTTATTAAGGAAATGAGGTACACATAGCATAACATCACATGGGGATATGAAGAGTATTACGCAGTTGTGTTTTAACACAATATGTGGTGATATCAAGACCCAAACAAAGGATAGTGTCACAAATGGTAATCAAGATGATCTTCTCATGCGTCATTCTGAAAGATGAATCCTAAAATTGAAAGTCACTTTGTTATCTATGAGATGATTCAGATATAGTACAGGCTCATGCATGACTGTGATTGTAAAGGAAATGACAGAGAAATAGTTTAGCAATATACATGCTTGTCAAATGTTACAAGCTCCTTTGTAGCATTTATGATGCTATAAGCAGTGATACTATTGTACAACACACAGCTGTCAGAGATGACGCAGATATCTTGGGGCATCAAACATGATCATCAGTGATAGGACCTAAAATGTGGCATCACATATGTTTTCCAAAGAGAATTGGAGTGATATTGTAGCACACACAGTTGTCTAGGACATATAGATGCAAACATATGAGAACACAATCCACAATTGTCATAAGTATCACTGCAGACACATGGCAGCTTTTTATATGATGATTAAGGAGGTAAGTCAGTATATACCATCCTACATGATTAACAGGTAGGGGATGAAAGCAGTATAGTTTATGTATGGTTTTCAACAAGGTGACAGAGACATAGGAAAACATTTTAATTTTCAAGGAAATGAAGAATACAAATGAAGCACAACAGGTGGTCGTCACTGAGATGACAAAGACAAAGTGTAGCAATGTACAGGCCTCCAATGATATGAAACAGATATAATAGTGCAGCATCATGCATGATCATCAAGAAGATAAGGAACATAGTATGTAGCATAACATATTGGTGACAGCAGATGACACAGGCATAGTTTAGCATTACATCCAGTGATCAGGGAGATAACACACAGGATAACATCAAACATGATTACCAAGAATGTGACATAACTCGGGAGGCTGAGGTGGGAGAACTGCCTGCACCCAAGAGGCAGAGGTTGCAGTGAGCCAAGATCGTGCCTCTGCACTCCAGCCTGGGCAACAGAGTGAGACTCCATCTCAAAGGAAAACAGAAAAAGAAGATGACATAGACTTAGCATGGCATTCTACATGTTGACCAGGGAGATGAGGCATAATGTAACATTATACTTGGTTCCAAAAAGGACAATGTGCACACATAGTATGGTATGGTATGGTATGGCATAGTAGAGCAGAGCATCATGTACAGTATACATACAGACACACATAGACACAGCACAGAAGCAAACACAAAGGGATATACACATAGTGAAGAAAAATATATGGTTATGAGAAAGATGAATCAGACAGTGTAGGGGCATATGTGGTCAGGGAGACAGCACACATGTAATGTAGCTGCCATTTGTAGCCATAAGGGAGATGATGTAGACATAGTGCAATCTCGTAAAGGCCCTACAAAGAGGTAAGAGATAAGATAGCATCACATGTGGCTATCAGGGATATCACACGTTATACTGTGTCATATGTGGTAGTCAGAAAGACGATACAGAAAGAGTACATTTGGTTATCAAGGCAATGACACGGACATAGTGGAGAATTATAAGTTGTTGCCGAGTAGAGGATGAAAACACGTGCTAACAAATGAAATGATCATCAGGGAAACAAAGTAAATATATTGTAGCATCATCCTTAAATAACAAGGACATGTCACCAATAAGATATAGCACAGCCCTTTGTAAAGGGTATGATGAAGTTACAGTGTAATTTAAGTGGTTTCAAGAAGATGATAAAAACATAAAATTATAGGCATTCTCCAGGCAGAAGAAGCAAACACATAGTATGTCATATGTGCTATTATGTGCTGAATTGTGTCTTTTTAAAATTCATATGTTGAAGTCCTAATTCCCAGTATCTCAGAATGTAATTTTTATGTTTGTGTATATAATTATACATGATTATAAAATATATGCAAGTATAGTATAGTTTTATCCATTGTCAAGAAGATGATGAGACACAGTATAGCTTCATATGCAACTGTCAAGTATATGGCCCAAAAATAGTATAAGCTTGCTTAGGTTGTCAGAGAGATAATGCAGATATAGGGTGGTGTCATACATTATCAGGGAGATGACACTATAGCATAGTATCATACAAGACATCAGGGTCTCATGAATGATCAGATGCAGAAAAAAGAGTAAAAAAAAAAGTATCTGGGTGACGACATGATTATATATTATATATTATATGTAATTACATATTATATATTACATGTAATTTTATTACATATACATGTGATTTATATATTATTTTACATGTAATATATAATATACAACAACATGTAAATATATATTATACTTTTGTGTCATATGAGGATACCATGGATTTGACACAGAGATGTTGTAATGTCACAAGTGCTTATCATGAAAATGAGGCAGACATATTGCAGCATCATAAATAGTAGTCAGGGAAGTAACACAAAAATACTGCATCATCATGCCCTGTTTTCCAAATGGTACAGACATAGTGTAGTATCATATATGTTTGTCCTGGAGATGAATTGTAGGCTAGTGTAATAAATGGTTAGCATGAATATAATGCAGAAATAGTATAAAGTAACATATTATAAAGCATCTTATAGGGTTGTCAAAGGGGTGATATAGTAATACGGCAACATCACACATAATTTCCAATGTATTTCAAATAATGTAACACCACATATGGCTGTTTAGAATATGAGGGGTGTGTGTGTTCATCAATGAATAGATTCATCAAGGAGACAGGGTCTCACTCTGTCACTCAGACTGAAGTATAGTGGCATAATCATAGTCCACTGCAACTTTGAACTTCTGGGCTCAAGTGACTTTCCTCAGCTTACTGAGTAGTTAGGTCTACAGGTGCATGCCACCACACTTAGCTAATTTTTGTTTTAATGTTTTGTAGGGATGGGGTCTCACTATGCTGCCCAGGCTGGTCTCAAATTCCTGGCCTCAAGTGATCTTCCCCCCTTGGCCTCCCAAAGTGTTGAAATTACAAGCATGAGCCACCATGCCTGGCCTTGATGCATATATATAGCATCATACATAATCATCAAGGAAATTACCATAGTACAACATCATATATGACTACCAAAGAATAATGTAGGCATAACACATGTTTTAGGATGCCCCAGGAACATCATAACAGGGAGGTGATGCAGATTTAGTGTAGTGATGTAGGTTACAGGATATACACAGACACAGTGTGGCATTTTGATGGTTAATTGTATATGTCGACTTGACTGTGTTAAGGGTTACCCAGGAAGGTGGTAAAACATTATTTCTGGGTGTGTCTGTGAGGGTGTTTGACTGAGTAAAAAAGAGCCACCCTCACCAATGTGGGTAGGCATCATCCAATCCATTGAGGACCCAGATACAACAAAAGGTAGAGGAAGGATGAAATTCCCCTCTCTTCTGGAGCTGGGACATCCATCTTCTCTGACCCTCAGTCATCAGAGCTCCTGCTTCTCAGATCCCCGGACTCTGAGACTGACACTAGTGCCCTCCTTAGTTCTCTCAAGTTTTGGGCCTCAGACTAAGAGTTACACCACTGGTCCCCCAAGTTTTTAGGTTTTCAGACTTGGACTGAATTACACCACTGACTCGATTCTCCATATTATACATGGTTATAAATAATTAAAGATATAGTATAGTATCTTACATTCTTATAAAGAGGATAACAGATACAGTGTAAATTAAAACACAATAGTCAGATCCATGACATAGATACAACATAGCATCATATGTGGTCATCAGAGAGATAACATAAACTTGCTGTAGCTTCATATATGGTCATCAGGTTTAGGTTTATTGATGTAGGTTAGCACCATCTGTTGTCTTCAGGAAGACAATGCATAGTTCATACTTCTACAAACTATGAAGTGATGCCTATGTTATCACACATCGTGGATGGTATGTGATGTCATGATATGACATACTCTTAGCATAGCATCATATATGCTTGCCATGGAGACACAGGATGAGGGAGACATAGTACAGTACCATGCGGTTATCAAGGACATGGTATAGACATAGTTTAGTGTAAAATAAGAAATTGTCAGTGAGATAATATATAAATTGTATAGTGTTAACACGTTTGTCAGGAATATGCTGCAGACATAGGGTAGCATCATAAATATTTGCCAGGGAAATAGCACAGACACAATAAATCATGACATATAGTTGTCAAAGAGATGACACATAATATAACATCATACATGGTTGCCATGGAAGTGACTTGTTGTTCAGTATTATAAAATGTTAACCAGGACATAACGCATGCATAGTACATCAATACAGATGGTTGTCACTGAGATAATAAAGACATTGTATAGCATTGCATGTGGCTTCAATGAGATGATGTGGACATAGTGTTCGTATCATACGTATTTGTCAGCAAGGTGACTCATGGTTTTACATCATATATGATTATCAAGGATATGATGCAGCTATGGCCCAGCATCAAATGTGGTTTTAAAGGAATAGATGAAAACACAGTGTAGCATAATATGCAACTTTCAAAGAGATGATGCAGGTGCAATGTAGAAATAAACATGATCCTTAGGGGATGAGACAGACACAATATCAAGTCACATGCGGGCAACAGGGAGATGACAGGTATAGTGTAGTATCACATGTGACCATCACAGAATTGAAGCACACCTAGGATAGCACCATAGATGGTTATCAATAAGATGATGTGAAGAATCACAAGTGGTAATCAAAGATATAAGGTACAGCATAGCATCATGTATGCTTATCACGAAGATGTGGTATGGCACACGTGGTTATAAAGGAGATTATAGCACTATTGATGGCAATCAAGTTGACAAAGGCCAACACAGGGTAACATCATACATAATCAGGGAGATAACCCAGAATATAGCACTATACACAGATATTAAGAAGATGACAAATACCTCATATACCTTATTATCTAGGAGGTGACACAGACATTGTATAACATTACATGTGCTTATCAGCTATATGATACAGACATACGATAATGACATACTTGGTCACCATAGAGATGAGACATGGTTTTATCATAGCTGGTCATCAAAGAAATGACCTATAGTGCAGAACCATGCATGGTTATCAAGCAAAGCATAAATCGCTCCAAAAATTAAAAGTATGAACAGATCACCTACCATCGGCTGAAGCAGTTGCAATAAGCTTGCCAGTGTAATCAAAGCAGCTGTCTAGTATTTCATCTTCATGGCCTGTTAAGGTTGCCATACATTTTCCATTTGTAGCATCCCACAGCTACAAATAAAAGAAACAAAAAACAAAAAAGACTATGACTTTCCGTCTAAAGGGTGAAGATGGCCAGCGGTCTTCATGACATGCTGATGGCTGGTTAAGTAACTGTGCAAAAATCACTTGTGTAATTCTGGCATGTTCAGTTATATTTCCTTTGATTCACGACCAGAGACCACAGCCAACCATCAAGCAAGGCACACCTTGGTCACAGAGAAAACCAAAGCCAGACATTTAAAATCTGCCACTACATTGAAGAAAGAAAAAATATCTCAATGTGTATGCTTTACTGGTTGGTAAAGAGTTGTGCTCTTTTTATAGGAAGGACATCAAATAATTACAAGCTTGATATAAAACTACAATGTAAGAAAATGAAAAGTACATTATAAGATTATAATATATTCATTAGATAATCAAACGATAATTCCATGCTATAATCTCTTAGCAACCATTTTTTAAGTGTAGAAACTTAGGGACAAGGAAACACTGTGTTTGAAGCTCTTTGAGGGTTACTCTACTCATTGAAGTTCTATAAGTGAACAGTGGGATATTAAATAAAAATAAAATGCCTTCTTACATAAGATATTTAATATACTTGAAGCAATTCGAATTGCTTTACTACATCGTAATTCCTTCAAATGTGGAAAATCCAAAACTTGAAATTTTAAAAATTACCAATTATTATTTATAAGTTAGTATCTTCATTTTATATCACCTTTGAAATTTGTTAATGTTATAATGGATAGCTGACACAGTAAAGAGTATAGACACAATATAAAGCAAAGCAAACATATTTATTTAGCTTACCATGCAGGTTTTGTCCATAGAGCCAGTTAATATTAGAGAGCAATCCCAATTGAATAAGGCACTGCTAATCTCAGCACAATGACCAATTAGGGTATGTACCTTCCTACAACACAGAAATAATTAAAACTAGTGAAAGATATCTTACTTCAGTATATGCACATGAATAATGACGCCAAGCCCATCTGTGTAAGCTAATCTAAATTTTGGCTTTTACAAAATAATACATTTGATAAAACAAGTATGATTTACTATTGCTCAAAAAGAAGCTACTAATAATTTCATTTCAACAGCAATGTACTTAAATTTTAAACTATCAAAATAATGCTACTTAAGGCAACATTTCAAAAACAAGTGGGTAACAAACAGCAAAGGCAGTAAGAAATATTCTTACACCAGATGAGTGCACCCTTGGTTGCTCGGAAACTACACGTCAAGTAACTGAAAGGCCCTTCTTTCTCTGTCATTTCTTACCCCTGATAATTAGCCCCTCTATTAAACCACAGACAAATCCAAGAGCAGAGTTTTCCAACACAAATATGCTAATTTAATTAACATCCTAGCAACTAGGACCAAAAATCATTAGGAAGGAAATTGAAGTTCTTGGACTAAATTAAATTTGAGAAATTAACTAAGAGTTGTATTTATGAATGATATTCATGCCTAACATAATGACAAGTCATTGAAATTTGATTATGTAATCCGTGGAATAAATAATAGCTATATAACCAGACTATTGCTAACATTCTCCTCTTATGTTGCTGTTTGTCATTATTTGCTCAGAATTCCAAGAATGCACATATTTTGTAATTCAGAAATATCTTTCAAGAATGAATTAACTTACATTTTCAATATGTCCTACTTTTATGGAATCAAAAGCGGAGTTAATAGATATTAGCTTAAACTAATAAATAAAAGGAGGTTTTCTGAACCTCCTGACCCAGATTAAAACAATTATTAGGAACTAAGAATTACCTTCCTGTATCAGCATCCCACACTATAACTGTATGATCAAAAGACCCAGTGATGATTCTGTCTCCTGAAGTGTTAAATGACAAGGAGATGATTTCTGCAGAATGTCCCTAGAAAAAGAGCAGATATTGTCAGATACACCTCTAGATAGAACAATTTCTGCAAGTTTTCAATATCATAGTCTAAAAGGAAATGCTGGAGAAGGCCGAGCTCTAGGAAAGGAGGTCAGCAGTTGGCTGGCGTGAGGATGGGGAGTGTCTGCACATGGGCACAGGTTTCTTTTTGGGGGTGATGGAAAGGTTTGAAAACTAGGTTTTGGTAATAGCTGCACAACTCTGTGAGGTTGCTAAAAATTAGTGACTTACACACAGCTAGTCCATTTAACTTAATATTGTTGATTAAAAACAAAAGAAAGCTGTTGTGTTTGGGGAAACTAGAGGGCTTCCTTTACATTGTCTTGGAAATACTACAGGGCTGTGAACTCCACTGGCTAATAACAGATGGTATGCAAAAGTAAACAGTGTATGAAATAAAACTGATTACTTTTAAAAAGGAAATTATTAGGATAACTTGATGGGAAATAGATTGATAAATTCCTGCCTTTGGCTTGACTTTCAGCTGGTTACTGTCTAGTGTTAGTGACTCAAACTGTGATACAATGGGAAGAAAGCCCTCTCTACAGCAGGTTCTGGAACTTTGATAAGAGGGTGCTGGTTGGAGTATGTATATCGCTTGATACCTTAATTATTTTAGTAAATTAACATAATTATATTTTGTTTGTCTTTTTGTTGTTGTTGGTTGATTGGTTTTGAGATAGAGCCTCGCTCTGTCACCCAGGTTGGAGTGCAGTGATGCAATCGTGGCTCACCACAACCTCTGCCTCCCAGGTTCAAGTGATTCTCCTGCCTCAGCCTCCTGAGTAGCTAGGATTACAGGCACATGCCACTATGCCCAGCTAGTTTTTTATTTGTAGTAGAGACAGGGTTTCACCATGTTGGTCAGGCTGGTCTCGAAGTCCTCCACCAGCCTCAGCCTCCCAAAGTGCTGGGATTACAGGTGTGAGCCTCCACACCCAGCCCATAATTATACTTTTAAATAACACAAAGAGTTAGAAAAGTTGATTTATAACTTGATTTTTCTGACTGATTTCAAAGGACAAAAATGAAATGTGGTTGAATATTAGAATTCTAAGTATGCAAAACAAATGCACTTTCTGGCATAGACAGGTGTGCCAAGCAGCACCCATCCCATCGAGTGCGATTAGGCACTTCTGTAAAAGGAGTCGCGTTAGCTGAAAGTGCAGCATTAACAGAGACCTTTCCCTGAACATTTGCCTGAAAGGAGAGATAGTAATGATGTTTTAAAAATAAATAAATATACTGGAGGACCCAGCTGTTAGAAAAAAAAAAAAGAGTAAAAGTTAAAAATAAATAGGAAAAACTGAGAACAGAAAGAATATACTTATATTAATAATGCTAGATACTCAGATTTAAGAAAGAAAAGACATTACCGCCATTTTTAAATGGTGATTTTTTTTTCTTTCTCAGTCCATGTTTTAACTTTCTTAGAAAAAACTTTCTGAGGAAAAGAATCATGTTTTTAAAAATGTATTTATAATTTTGAAAGGACAAGGAAACTGAATTTCCCATCCAGCTGTCCCCGCTGATGACAACATAGGGTCACCCTATTTTTGTTGTGGCCACTTGTGCTGGGGTGAGAGGAAGGAGAGAGTGGCAGGTCGCAGGGAGGTGCTGGGTGTGTGGTGGCAACAGACAAGAGCACACCCCTGCAGCACTCACTCTGTGGGCAGTGCCCTTTGGCCTTTTCTCTTCTAGTCACTTGCCCCTCTGTCATTTCAGACTATGTGATACAGGAGGGTTCCAAGATCAGCAGGCAGAGGAAAGTGTGCTCACCATCATTGCTTTAAGGACTCTCTTGGCATGGTTCTCCAGCTCTGCCTCTTCCAAAAGTGCCAGCCTCCACCTGCTTCCCTCTTAGCCAGAGAGATGGTGATGGGTTCTAAGCTACAGTTTATGTGTTTTGCAGACTGAAGTTAGTCCAAATAAAAACCTCTTTGGACTTCCACCCAAGTCTTTTGGAATAGCCAGCAAACCAGTTGGAACAGCCTTTCACCACTACAGTTTGAAAACTAGTATCTCAACAACAACCAACTTAGAGCTCATTTTGTAACAAAAATACAAATAACTGCAAAAATTTTTCCCATTCTGTTGGTTGCCAATTCACTCTAATGACTGTTTCTTTTGCCGTGCAGAAGCTGTGGAGTTTGATTAGGTCCCATTTGTCTATTTTGGCTTTTGCTGTCAATGCTTTTGGTGTTTTGGTCATGAAGTCCTTGCCTACACCTATGTCCTGAATGGTTTTGCCTAGATTTTCTTCTAGGGTTTTTATGGTGTTAGGTCTTATGTTTAAGTCTTTAATCCATCTGGAGTTAATTTTAGTGTAAGGTGTCAGGAAGGGGTCCAGTTTCTGCTTTCTGCACATGGAGGCCAACAAACATATGAAAAAATGCTCATCATCACTGGTCATCAGAGAAATGCAAATCAAAACAACATTGAGATACCATTTCACGCCAGTTAGAATGGCAATCATTAAAAAATCTGGAGACAACAGATGCTGGAGAGGATGCGGAGAAATAGGAACACTTTTGCACTGTTGGTGGGAGTGTAAATTAGTTCAACCATTGTGGAAGACAGTGTGGTGATTCCTCAAGGACCTAGAAATAGAAATTCCATTTGACCCAGCAATCCCATTACTGGGTATATATCCAAAGGATTACAAATCATTCTACTATAAGGACACGTGCACACGAATGTTCATTGCAGCACTGTTTACAATAGCAAAGACCTGGAACCAACCCAAATGCCCATCGACGATAGACTGGATAGGGAAAATGTGGCACATATATACTATGGAATATTATGCAGCCATCAAAACGATGAGTTTGTGTCCTTTGTAGGGACATGGATGAACCTGGAAACCATCATTCTCAGCAAACTGACAGAAGAGCAGAAGATCAAACACCTCATGTTCTCACTCATAGGTGGGTGTTGAACAATGAGAACACATGGACACAGGGAGGGGAGCACTACACACTGGGGTCAGTTGGGGGGAAATAGGGGAGGGACGGTGGGGGGTGGGGAGCTGAGGAGAGATAGCAAGGGGAGAAATGCCAGATGTATGTGATGGGGAGGAAGGCAGCAAATCACACTGCCACGTGTGTACCTATGCAACAATTTTGCATGTTCTTCACATGTACCGCAAAACCTAAAATGCAATAAAATAAATAAATGGGAAAAAAATACAAATAAGAATGAACACAGATAACAGGCTAAAAAAATACAAATAAGAATGAACACAGATAACAGGCTTGTTAGCATTACTGACGTACTGTTAAGGTGAAAACTTCCTCGCCATTCTGAATGTCCCACAATTTGGCTGTTGTGTCCATACTTCCAGTTGCCACCAATGTGCTTTGAGGGTTAAATGATAAACACACCTAAATTACACGAAATGGGACAAATTTTAGGAAGATAGATTTCAAATTTTTAACTATACATAGAAAATCTTCCAGATGCAATTACCTTACTGGATTCAGTTTAATTCTTTGTACAAAACACCACGTGTGTGACCTGCTACACCCAGGCTGAATCCTGCAGAGGTCTCCTCTTGACAAGAGGCTGCTTGTTCTCCCACAGCACCCAGCCTAGGCTTCAGCTTTTTCTCTCTTTGATCCTTAAAAGTCTCTACTATTTTTAAACTACTACTGCACTGGTAAAGTGGATAGCTTCTATTTGTGGATTCTCTTTCGGTATTATCCACTTAAGAGTAACTTCAAGGCACAACAAGTGAAGTAAGTTAAATATCGAAAGAATCATTCCACCTAATGAAGGCCGGAAATGGAGGGAAAGGGGTGATCCCCATTAACAGGCCAACACAACTCTGAGATTCACTGAAATCAGATCAATATTTCCTATTAAAATCTTTGATTAAAACCATTTAAGGCATTACTAATCATTAGGAGCAGCAGGCTGCTTATTTTTAAGAGCTATCATTTATTCTTGTGGAATGCCAATTATTACACTAATTGGTATCAGGTATGTCACAGAATTGGCTAAGGACAAGGGCTTCCCAACAGTGAAAGCTGTTTCCAAGTATAAGACAATTCATGCAAATTTGAGCTCTAATGATACACAGAGAACCATCAGCCTAAATACTTCACATAGTAGTTCTAAAATTATTTTAAAAGCTGTTTTTATAGCTTAATTGACCCTCATTGAGTCAATAAAGAAAAGTCATTGAAAAAGAAAAAGGAAGATTGGCTTTTATATTTATAAATGTATTATATTACATGTCTACTTAGTCAATGCAAGACACAGTTCTTTATAGAATCTGCAAGATATTAAGAAGAATAATTTTTAAATTGTATAGGCAACACCATATAAATATAGGCAGACTAAAAACATGAGGTAGAATTCAAAAATTAAATTGTAAAAGTAGACCCACAGCTTTTATAATACATAAAATGTAATAATAAATTGCTAAATCAATACTCACTATTTCTGCTCTATGGCCCCTGAAGGTATGGTAACATTGTCCTGTCTCTACACTCCAGAGTTTACAAGTTTTATCAAAGGACCCAGTGGCAATTTTGTCACTAAAATTTAAAAGAAATGTGGATTATTTAAAAAAAGACACATTATGTAATAAACTGAACTAAGATAAGCGATATTAATACATAAGTAAAAAATGTACTTCATTTCTAAAACTATAAGCAATCTTAAAATCATTTCAGTGGATAATAAAATAAAGGCCTAATTTTTGAGTGGTATCAGTTAACACATTTAATTTGAAAGGTTTTATATTAGAGTTATAAATATATTTGTTTGGGATTATCACAATTTTTAAAACTAGTTTAATAAATGTAGCAAAAGGTTTAGTTTAGAAAATTACAAATTAAAATCAATAATGTATAGTATGAACTGTGTAAACATAGAACAATTCTGTTAATAAGGAGATGGAAAAGGATAACATTGAATGTAAAATAAAAATGAAAAAGATAAATCCCATTAAAAATATGGTTAATAAGGTTTTGAGAATTTAGACAGTGTGTGTCCTCTTAAGGAAATAATACCTATATTATTCCAGTTGTAAGAGGGCTTAGAAAGGAAATATAAAGATCTCAGTCACTTTTAACTAAGAGGCTTCTCATATTGACTTGGGGGTGGGGGCAGGGCTATCATAAACCTCCAACAAGTAAGAGTAGATGACCCTGTTTGGCCTTTGATCTTGGAACTAAAACCCTTTCTTTTAACCCTGGCTTACATCTGTCTTTTATACCAACTCTTCAAGACGAGTTGACATAAATCATTTACAGCACAAGCTCATTTTCCAAAAGTGTAACGGATCTCAAGACTCAACACATATATCCTAAAGCAGACTAGAAATGTATATTTCCCCAGACTAACACTGATGCCTTGATTCTCTCCCTTGTCCCAGGACACTCATATTTCTGTGGTGTTTATGTGGTCTCTCAGACTAAAGCAAAGTGGCATCCTCTCTGTCAATGTTCCAAGGGCAGCCTGTCCTATAAACACCCACCCACCAACCCAAAGTTTCCAAACAGTGTCTGACCTGGCTTTCTCCTCTGGCATCCAGCCCTGGGCGTTTTACTTCAACTGCTGATATCTTCCAATGTGTGTTCAAGAGAAGCTCAAAGCCCTGTGCCTTTTTTTTTTTTTTTCTTTTGAGACAGAATAATAGGCTTGAATTCAATGGTGCGATCTCAGCTCACTGCAAGCTCGACCTCTGGGGCTCAAGCAATCCTCCCACTACAACCTCCCGAGTAACTGGGACTACAGGCACATATCACCATCCTTGGCTAAGTTTTTTATTTTTGTAGAGATGGGATCTTACTATGTACATTCTTTATCAGTTCCTTCAGTTCAGTTTTTCATCCTTCCTGCCCCTCAAAAATGAGTCTTGAGTTGCGATTGTTTCTTGACTAATTTCTATTCTACCACAAACTGTTCTCTACATCCACAGGACACCACATTATAGAAGATATCTCTCATGTCAATGTGTTTGAGAATTACTTTATTGAATCAAAGCTTACTCCTGCCCTAAGGTATAAAGCAGATAAACACCAAACTGGTTTAAGGGTTTTCTCTCTCTCTCTCTCTCTCTCTCTCTATCTCTCTCTCTCTCTCTCTCTATCTCTCTCTCTCTCTCTCTCATACACACACACACACACACACACACACACACACACACACACTCCCTCTTATTCTTTGGTGACTGTGTTGAACTCATGCTGTGGAAACCCCAATGACCCCAAAATGCAATGAGAAACACCACATTCATGCATACATAAATCATTAGACAAGGATAACTATCTAATTGGACAAGGGGGGTTTTCATCAGGGGCTCTTTGTAGAATTCAGTTGAAGGGCCAAAAAGTATACCTCTCCTCTCCAACAAGAGAACACTTCATTCTCAGATGGACACCAAAAAAATCATGTTTATTAAGTAGACTATTAAAGGATATGCCATTGCATGATAGAGAATATCCTTTAAATAGCATTGCAATGAAAATAGGAATTATACCAGAAGAAAAATAATGCCATTTATAATTTCAATAAAATCTTTCGCTTTTCACAAGCTGGTATAATAAGGTATAAAAATTGTCATTCTCTGCAATGTAAAAATGCATAGATCAAAGTTAAATTTTCTGAAACTTAATAAGGTTTAATTATTTTAATGTACCAATTTAAGTTTGGGGCCATCAAAATTAATGTGTTTTGAAAGGGTACTACATTTTTAAAAGATACTATATTGGCAAACTAGATATCAAGTTTTTTAACTATGGTATAAAATGTCTATTCTAAGTGTATAAAATTTTTATGAAATTCCTCTATTCTTTCTGCCCCTATCCAGGCAATGAGTGTATTATCGTATCATGAGTGTATTGCCGTATCTGCATCCTAAATGACCTCGTCTCTTGTTTCTTCTCACACTCAAACCCTCTGACCTCTTCTCTCTGCCACAGCCATCCTTCTGTTTAAAACTTTCACTGTTCCACTTGTTATTCCCAAACCCCTGATGGCAACTCAGTCCTACAGAACAGTTTAAACTCCACAGAATGCTCTGACCTCAAACGCTTCTGTTTCTCAACCTGAAATGCTCACTGGAGAGACTGGTCACTGAGTGCGCCTGATGAATCCCCTTCTTAAAACACTGAGCTGCTGAAGTCTCTTTGCCCCGTGTGTCCTCTCCACTGCTTCCCACCTTCCATCCTCCTGGCTTCTGCTTTGGGTTCACCCCATCTCTAAAGACTCTAACCAGGAGAAATCACAATGGTCTCTTTCTCCTCTCAATTGTTACGTCATTTACTGTTTCGTTCCAGTCATCATAACACTATAGTAAATGAACTGTATTTATAGAACTGGCTTCATTTATGGAAAAATTCATGTAACATGTGCAATCACAAAAAAATACACACTTGTCTAGGAAAGGTTTACTGCAATAGATATAAATATATGTCCATTTGCCAATCTTTTCACCAGATGCCACTGTCTTTCTTTGACTATTTGCCAGCTAAGTGGAGTTCATGATCTGTCTTACAGAAATTGTATCAAACCACAACAATATCTAGTTTTCTTTTCCTGAAAATGGAATGAGAACTTAAAGAACTGAAACATATGTGCAGAAAAATCTGAGGGCAGAATTTTTCTAGATTTTGACAGTGCGCTTTCCAGTTGAACATTGATCTCATCCACAACTTCATTTAGTTGTGAAACAATTTTTCAAAGATTTACCTTATCTATGCTTCCCTAGAAAACAGCAGCTTTCTTTTCACACTCATATTTTATTATTTTATGTAATATTTGGTTAAATTACATGTTATGTTACACAATTACAGTTGAAAGCACAACCAACATAAGCACATTTGTCAACAAATACAACAAACTCTTGATCAGCTTAGAAGCTAACCAGTGGGAGGAGAATGCCCGTTCCAGTGGGTAGCTTCATTGTTAGATGTCCAGGTTGCCATGGGAACCAGCAACGTGTCATGCAGAAGAATAGAAGACACCTGGGTAATCTCCTGAATCAATTATCTAGAGGTTGGTTTAAAAATATTTCTATTACACTTGGTACTGTTATTTAGCATGTTGCCACACACATTTCTTTCCTACCTGGCAAGACTGTAAATTAACTTCTAAATGAAGTAAATCACGCTGTGTGTATATGTCACATTCTGCCAGAGGCACCAATCTAGAGCTGTGAATATCAGTAGGAAGTGCCTGTCAGGAAACTCCCAAGGGTTGAGAGTTAAGTCTTGCCTGAGCATGAACTCCAGCTCTCCTCTTTACTATGACGTGATCCTTGGAAGCATATCTGAAACTTGTATTTTTTTTTTTTTTTTAAAGACAGTCTTGCTCTGTTGCCCAGGCTGGAGTGCAATGGCGCGATCTCAGCTCACTGCAATCTCCGCCTCCTGGGTTAAAGCGATTCTCCTGCCTCAGCCTCCCAAGTAGCTGGGACTACGGGCATCCACCACTATGCCCAGCTAATTTTTGTATTTTCAGTAGAAATGGGATTTCACCACGTTGGCCAAGCTAGTCTCAAACTCCTGACCTCGAGTGATCTGCTACCTTGACCACCCAAAGTGCTTGGATTACAGGCATGAGCCACCATGCAAAGGCTTGAATCTTGTATTCTGCATGAGGATAGTGATAGCTAACCCAAAGACCCTTTTAAGCATTGAGGGAGGTATTTAAAAGGCTTCCAAAGCACATACCAAGCACTCAATAAATTTTAGTCCTCTTGAATTCTTTCCTTCCTCCCTCAGTAGATAGGGGGCTGAATAAATGAATTAATGAAAAAATAAGTGAATGAATGAACACACCCATAAGGATTGTTGAATGCTATGGCATAAACCACATTCCTGTGGCCCTCCAGGGTGTTCAGCTCCTCTCCAGATGCAGTGTCCCAGAGCTTGCACGTCCGATCATAGCTTCCTGTGATAAAGCTAACAAGAGGAATATAAACATGTTGCAGGGAAGAATGGCAGTGTGTTAATAAAGACTTCATGTTTTACCCGCAGGATAATAACTCTATTTATTATGGGGTTTGTTTTGTTTTGTTTGAGAAGAAATCTCTCTCTGTTGCCCAGGCTGAAGTGCAATGACATGATCTTGGCTCACTGCAACCTTTGCCTCTTGGGTTCAAGCAATTCTCCTGCCTTAGCCTCCTGAGTAGCTGGAATTACAGGCACCCACACCTATGCCTGGCTAATTTTTTTAGTAAAGACGGGGTTTCACCAAGTGAGGGAGGCTGGTCTTGAACTCCTGACCTCAGGTGACCCACGCGCCTCAGCCTCCCAAAGTGCTGGGGTTACAAGTGTGAGCCACCACACCTGGCCAATTATGCTTTTTACAATGAAAGTCATGCGTGCAGAACAAAAAGTTAAATTGAGAACAATGTCTAAATTGTGATATATTCTGTTGTTTTTTACAGGCACGTGCCACCATGCCCAGCCCTAACTTAACTATTAATAATTACATCTGTGATGACCTTACTTACAAATAAATTCACATTCTAAGGTTCTGAGGGATTAGGACTTCAACATATGAATTTTGGAGAGTTGCAATTCAACCCATAAAAATATCTATAGCATGTATGTGTATAGTTGCAAATGTGAGTTTACATCTAGCCAAAGGTAGAGGAAGTCTGTGGGAGAAGATGGTAGAAGGAAAATACCTAGCAGAGAATCAAAGATATACTGTCTTGTCAACCTTCCTGTTTGGTTGAGTTTTGCTGTTAGACTTTCCTTCACCTTTTATCATTACCACTTGACATTCAGACTGGCTTTTCAATTTTGTGGATCATTTTCTGTGCTGGGGAAATATATCTGTTACACTTTTAAAGCAATATTTTGATTTCAGAGATATTTTAAAAGAAAGTCTCTTTCCTAATTGAATATTGAAGGAATGATTAAGATGCTGCTGTTTTACATTATACTCCACTAACTATTCCTATAGCAGAATAGCTATGTTAAAGGATCCATTAATTTGTTTATTAAACAAAATATAAGCTAGGGCACACCTGTAATCCGAGTCCTTTGGGAGGCCAAGTCTGGTAGATCACAAGGTCAGGAGTTCACGACCCACCTGGCCAACATTGTGAAACCCTGTCTCTACTAAAAATACAAAAAAACATTTGGGCATGGTGGCGGGCACCTGTAATCCCAGCTACTCAGGTGGCTGAGGCAGGAGAATTGCTTAAACCTGGGAGGCAGAGGTTGCAGTGAGTGGAGATTGCCATTGCACTCCAACCTGGGCAACAAAAGCAAAACTCTGTCTCAAAAAAAAAAAAAAAAAAAAAAAGTTAGTTAGGATGAGATCATGCCACAGTTGGGTGGGCCCTAATTCAATGCATCCTTATAAGAATGGGTCCTATGGTTAGAGACACACACAGGGAAAACCATGAGAAGATGAGAGCAGAGCTCAGGGTGATGCTTCTCCACACCAAGGATTGCCAGCAAACCACCAGAAGCTACAAGAGCTATGGAACAGCTTCTTTCCCACAGCCTCAGAAGGAACTGACCCTGATGACACCTTGACCTCTGACTTCTAACCTCCACAACTGTTCCACAATAAATGTTGGTTGTGCAAGCCACTCAGTTTGCACTACTTTATTATGGAAGCCTTAGCAAACTACCACAGACATGTTTATTTTATGTCTGTAGGTCAAGACGCAGCTTCCACCTCATCTCTCCTACCTAGCACGTCAGCTCCCAAGCTGATCGCAGCCATGCTCCCAACAGAGACGTGAAGCTGCTATTCACCATACCCCAAATCACTGACCTACATGGATGTCTGCTCTGAATAGACTGATCACAATCAATCAAGTTAGAGATGAGACCACCCTGCCTGACTCATTCCTGAGCTGAGTTATTCAGCAGTTATATTTGCTGAGAACCCAATATGCCTCCCGTTCACTGTGGCACAAATATGACTTAAAAAAAATTCAGATTAGAATAGTGAAAGAAAGGGCTTATATTTCTCCTCAATATTCAAGAGGGTACTGAAATCAGAAAAATGAATATATTATGTACTTAGCTAACTGGAATCTTCGAAAAATAAACATAGAAACTTGTTTAGTTCACTGCTAAAAATTAAACATAAAAAGAGAATCTTACCATGAGCCTGATTTGTTAAGTGCAACATTAGTCAGTGGCAATATATGTGCTTTGAGAACCTTCAGTGGAAGAAAACACCATTCTTTAGACTCAAACCAAATCAAGTTTAATTTGTTAGTTATAACTTCAAACCAATGCAGACATTCAATTTTGTCTTAATTATACGTCAGAAATGGCAATATCTGATTTACCTTTAAGAAAGACAGTGCTACATGGTATCTTACTGATACCACTAAATGTTACAAATTAGTGCTATGTGGTATCTTACTGATAGCAATAATTTGTCACACTTTCTTTACATATGGCATATGACGTGTATATACATACATATATGTGTATTAACTGCGTATATAGGAAATACACTAAATATGTTTCAGCAAAGATTTGACAATGTATTATATTCTTTATGAATCCTGAAGCTCCTTTAAAGTCAGAATATGTCTTATTTATCTTTCAATTCCTACAACATCTAACATACAGTGAATGTTTAATGAATATTTATTGAATGCATATACATAAATTGGACAGTCTATTAAGAGTGATTGGCTATGCTAGGACAGTCCGGGTTATGTCTGGTGCCAAAATGTAACTATTAATGGCATCTACTTTCGCTATCAAAAATGTTCCCTTTGGAGAATAAATTATGAGACACACCAGTTACAGAGCTCATATTTGAAATTAAACAGTGCCACCTGCTGGACAAAGAAATGCTACAAGACTACAACCTCATCCTCTTCTAGAAAGGAATGCCTGGATATTTTGTTATCAGGTGAGTATATTAACTAATAATTATATTTTATTATCATAATTATATTTAAATAATAAAAGATAAAAGCAGTGTAATACGAAATAATTCTAGGATAATTATAATGGAAAATTAAAAGCTTTTCTTGAAGTGCTAAATGACTATATTTGCTATATTTTAATTTAATCATCAAAAAAGCTATTTAAAAAGCATATTTACATCACATTGAAATTATATAAGTCATAAAAATAAATAATGTACTGAAATATTATTTAGCTCACATTAAAGCAGAAAATATGAAATGTTTAGGGAATGAAAAATATTTTTAGAGAAAGAGAAATTAATAAAACATCAATCATTTCACTGAAATTCTTTTATCCGATTTTTTTTAATGCATTACCTTAAAAAGATAGAATGTGTGGTTGCTGTGCTGGCCAAGTTTCTCCTGTAACCTCTGTATCAAGAGTTTCACTTGCTCTGCTCGTGAAGCTGTGATTAGAGGTTCTGCCTGATGGATTTCTTCCACTAAAGCACTGACATCCGTACTGAAATTTACACAAAAAAAAAGTTTCCTTTATTTTATGTCAGAATTTACATATACCTTTATTACATGAAGAATTGATTGCATTGCTTCATGAAGCACATTTGTAAAATGTCAAAAACACCATTATCTTTCCCAAGAGATATCTGGGGGAGTGTGGGGGTGGGAATCACACAAATCAGTAAATAGCATGATAGCAGAAAAGCAAGAAGTTTGGAATTTCTAAAACGCATTTTTCCATAGCTAAGGCTTGTTTTGTGGAGGGTGTGCCAAAAGTCTAATATTCTCACTTACTGCTGTCGTTTGAATATTTGCATCCCCTCTAAAATTCATGATGAAATGTGTTCACCAATGTAACAGCGTTAACAGGTGGGGCCTGAATGCGTAATTAAATCACAATGATGGAGCCCTCCTGAATGGGATCAGATGCCCTGATAAGACAGCCTGACAAAGAGTGTTCAGCCCTTTTGCCCTTCTGCCCTCTGCCATGTGAAGACACAGCATCAAGGCGCCACCTTGGAAGCAGAGTGAAGCCCTCACCAGACACCAAACCTGTGGGGGCCTTGATCTTGGATTTCCCAGTCAGAACTGTAAGATATAAATAAACTTCTCTCAGGTATTTTTTGTCATAGCAGCACAAAACGAATGAAGACACCTAGGAAGGCCTAGTCCGTACTAGTTCTGAACATGAGCTATTTTTCTTTTTTTTTCCTGTTTCTTTTGAATGAACATGTATTGAATGTTCCCAGCATCATACTTTTCACTTTACATATGTTCTCTTATTTAATCCTGTAAAAATCTGCTAAGGTAATGCTTTTATCATAATTATTTTAGAGATGAAGAAACTGAGGTTCAGAAAAATTAGATGTAAAATATGTTAAGGAAAAGAGAAAATGCTTAACCATAAATTTTAAAAATAATAAGGCTAATATTAATATTTATTATGGACTAAAATATTATTTCCCTGAAAGATAACTGGTCTGAAAAAATATACAGATAGATTCAAATTTTCTCTAGTATTCGCATAATTCATAGAAATTCTGAAAAAATGTTGCTGGAACAGAATAAAATTCATTCTAAAAAAGGTATCAATGTATATACACCATGAAGCATCCAAAATAGAGCCATTTCACCAATCATGTCACACACATGTCTAGAAGATGCACTATGCAGGTTCCCCCACCTTTGAGAAGGGACTCAGGCCCAGTTTCAGGGTTGGAGCTTTGTTGCCTGACAGTTTCTAGTGCAGCTCCTTCAGGTTGCACCTTGGCATTCCAGGCTCCCCGGCCACAGCTGAGCAGGGGCAGAGCAAGAGCCTGGCTATGAGGCACTCCTCTAACAGGCAAGTTTTGCTCCTGAGTTCCTCCAGATTAGCAGAGATTCTGTTGTTCCGCCTCCTTCATCACGGTCAGATGACTCCTCCTGCCAGATCCTGCTTCACGCCCTGGACTGTCACAAGTGTCACTGCCCAATAAACCTTTATTAACCCCCTCTGTCTCAGTATCCACTTCCCATGAATGTGACCTCTGATAAGTATCCCCTCTTCACCTCATAAACAAACATTAAGCTCCAGTTTTGTGCAAGGCATCAAGCTAGGAATCTGCTCATTCAAGTGACATATATTGAGTTGCTACTACTCCTTCAGCACTGGGAGTGTAAAAGGCATGGCCTCGACTCTCAAGAAATGTAATCTATTAGAGTAGGAGTGAACAGTTCGAACAAACATGAACCAGGGGCCATCTATAATAATGACTTGGATAAACCCTGAGATATTCAATTGTCAAAAAGATATTTAATTTCATAAGAATGAAAAGGGTAAAAATGCTCCTTTGAAAAGTTTTTAACGACTTGTATAAAAACAGATTTCCTCACAAAATCCAAATTAACCAGATAATCTAAACACTCCAGCCCTGTAGGATTCTCATGCAATAATTCCAGTTTGTCATCTCTGGTGCCAGTGTTTTTACAGGCACAATACTTCCAGATTCTTGCACAAAACTAGAAATAAGACTCATCCCTTTTTGAGACACTTATTTACTTTCTCATATAAACTGAAAGGTCATGTTTATGAGTGGCTACATCTTATATCTCCTCAGGAAAGCATAGCACAATTAAGTGACTACAGCTAACATGAAGAACAAAGTTTCGAGTGCCTGGATTCATGGCTCACAAATCCTTTTTGAAATGACCTAAGAATTCAAACTTTTTAAATATAAAAATCTGTGGTTTTGCGGAATGTCTAGCTGGGGGCTGTTCTCTCACATAGAGGTTTGTCTGTGCCACTTGTGTGATGTTCTATGTTCTACAAGTTGTTTCTCAAACTAGACAAAAAGCCTATCAAGTGTAGGGAGTATGATTAGTATCTTCATAGCCTCTTTTAGAATCTATCCCACATTAGATTCTTATGTATGTGTTGACGGTACATATATGTAATTGCTGACTAAATAAACGAATGTCTAACGAAGAAACTTCCTGCATGCTAGCATAGTCACACAAATCAATAACAGGTTCCATTTATAAAAATTACAGATTGGGTTTGATCTTAGGCCTCATCTTTCCCGAAAATAAACAAAGATTGTTGTTCATGAAATTCAGTGACACTCGGCAAAAGAAACAGTCATTAGAGTGAATCGGCAACCAACAGAATGGGAAAAAATTTTTGCAGTTTACCCATCTGACAAAGGGCTGATATCCAGAATTTACAAAGAACTAAAACAGATCTACAAGAAAAAAAAAAACAACCCCATTCAAAAGTGGGTGAAGGATATGAACAAACACTTTACAAAAGAAGACATACATGAGGCCAACAAACATATGAAAAAATGCTCATCATCACTGGTCATTAGAGAAATGCAAATCAAAACTACATTGAGATACCGTCTCATGCCAGTTAGGTTTCTTAATGCAATCATTAAAAAATCTAGAGACAACAGATGCTGGAGAAGATATGGAGAAATAGGAACACTTTTGCACTGTTGGTGGGAGTGTAAATTAGTTCAACCATTGTGGAAGACAGTGTGGAGATTCCTTAAGGACCTAGAAATCGAAATTCCATTTGACCCAGCAATCCCATTACTGGGTATATATCCAAAGGATTATAAATCGTTCTACTATAAGGACACATGCACACGAATGTTCACTGCAGCACTGTTTACAACAGCAAAGACCTGGAACCAACCCAAATGCCCATCGATGATAGACTGGACAGGGAAAATGTGGTACATCTACACCATGGAATATTATGCAGCCATCGAAAACGATGAGTTTGTGTCCTTTGTAGGGACATGGATGAACCTGGAAACCAGCATTCTCAGCAAACTGACAGAAGAGCAGAAAATCAAACACCGCATGTTCTCACTCATAGGTGGGTGTTGAACAACGAGAACACATGGACACAGGGGGGTAGCACTACACACTGGGGTCTGTTGGGGGGAAATGGGGGAGGGACGGGGGGGTGGGGAGGAGGGGGGAGATAGCATGGGGAGAAATGCCAGATATAGGTGATGGGGAGGAAGGCAGCAAATCACACTGCCATGTGTGTACCTACGCAACAATCTTGCATGTTCTTCACATGTACCCCAAAACCTAAAATGCAATAAAAAAAAAAAAACGAAATTCAGTGACACTATCTGTGCCACTGCTTATTCTTTCTTTGATGTAAAAAAAAATATCAACTGACTACCTTCTTTGTGCCAAGCACCTAAAATAAGACTTGGACCCCACAAAGACCATCGTCCTCTGAGCCATGCCCCATTCCCACCCTAGACAGGTGTTCCCAGAAACACCAAACCTCTCAAGCGGTAGCAGCTCCAGGATTAAGAGAGAGCCTCTCTCATCAGCTATGGTGCCAAGTGGAGTCATTATAAAACTTGGGGGCAGTTCATGAAGAAAGCTCCTTTTGCTGACAGTCTCAGGCCACAAACCTAAAACACAACATTTTTGTTCTCTTTCTTTTTTAATTTTCACCCATCGAAATTATCTTCACCTTATCTGAATTTAAGCTCTCACAGGATAATCACTAGTCTGACTCTCTCCTGAAGTTGAATTTTTGATTGTTTGTTTATAAAGACAGGGTCTTGCTATGCTGTGTTGCCCAGGCTGGTCTCAAGCTCCTAGACTGAAGTGATCCTCCTGCCTTGGCCTCCCAAGGTGCTGGGATTACAGGTGTGAGCCACCACACTTGGCCCTGAAGTGGAGTTTTGCATGAGATTTTTTTTTTTTTGAGAGGGAGTCTCACTCTGTCGCCCAGGCTGGAGTGCAGTGGCATGATCTTGGCTCGCTGCAACCTCTGCCTCCTGGGTTCAAGCAATTCTCCTCCCTTGGCCTCCCAAGTAACTAGGACAACAGGCATATGCCACCACATCTGGCTAATTTTTGTATGTTTAGTAGAGACAGGGTTTCACCATGTTGGCCATGCTGGTCTTGAATCCTGACCTCAAGTGATCCACCCTCCTTGGCCTCCCAAAGTGCTGGGATTACAGGTGTGAGCCACCATGCAGGCTATTATGATTAGATTTGGAACTCTGGGCATTATTACATCACAAGAGATTTCCTCTGGGTTCATACCAAGCTTCAGTAACAGAGGTTAGGTCTCCCCCTTCTGCCCCATGACAATTAATGAGGAGGAACATATTCACTCAGACCTATGAAGTATTTAATAATAACAGGTTTAGTAATATTCTTAAAACTCAGTTACAAGTACTTCTCAAAAATGTTAAGGTCAGCAAAAATAAAAGAAGTCTGAGAAACAGTCGCAGCCCAGGGATGCTTAAGGATACATGATGGCGAAATGTCATGTGGGATTCTGGATGGAATCCTGGAACAGAAGAAGGGAATTAGGGAAAAACTAAGAAAAACTGAATAAAGTGGGCCTTAGCTAATATGTATGTATCATACTGGTTCATTAATCCTAATAAATGTACCTCACTATCTGAGATGCTAAGATCAAGGGAAACTAAGTATGGAAACTCTACCTTCACAACCTTTCTAAAACTATAAACTCAAAGGTTTATTTTTTAAAGAACTTCCTAGAAAAAAAAAAAAGAGTGATGACCCTTTTTCCACCTCCTCTTCATTCAGGAAGATCCTCAGGTACAACTCACTGAAACAAACAGAAACTAATACACCGCAGAAGAACTATTTTTAAAAAATAATGTATTAGCTGCAGTTTATTATATACAGTTTAATGTATTACCTGCAGCTCATCCACACATCACTCTGTGTCATTTCCAGTGAAAATTTACTTGTTGCGTTAATAGTTAACTTACCTGGGACCAAGATCAAGCAAATCTATGGACTTAGTCTTTAATTCTCCACTTTTTTCATATTCCAACATAATTCCTACAGAAAGAAATAAACATGCTATAAAACACATATGATGACCGCCTATGCCAAAAGTTAACCTACCTTGCCACAATTTTTTCCATTTTTACTTTTTAAAATTTTTATTTTTTAATAAAAAAAAAAAGCAGTTATATCTAGTTCCAAAACAAAATCATGTAGACACACTTTTCCCTGGTCCTTCCCTCTAAATACAACTAAATGCCCTTGAAATTGTTCAACAGACAATGATAAAATAATTGAAAGTTGGATGGGAGAAGGTAGACTGGCTAAGGCCTCAGGGCTTGAAGAATGACTACATGGTGAGAGTCCTGGATTTTCTTTTTACCACCACACTCCACATCCCAAAACTAGGACAAGAGGGCCCTAGTCCCTGCCTCACAAATGGGGCTCCTTGCAAGCACTTTGATCCCCCGGTGGAAGCTGGGCTCGAGGCTGTTTCAGTTCCCACTGCACATGCTGGGCCCCAGCAGGCAGTTGGATCTGGCTGTAGCCCCATCAACAAAGTCCTGGGACCTCCCAGATCCCACTCCACAGCCAGGCCATTGGTGGATGGTCCTATCCACTTGCAAAAGAGACAACGATGAAGTCCAGGGATGTCTCAGACCTCACTCCACAGGCACTGAGGCAGCCTCAGCAAAGCCCTGTGTCTCCCTGTCTTCCAGCCAGCAGCATAATCAGGCCCAGAAGTGACCAGGAAGGTCCCTCTGTGACAGCAGGCCTACTAGAGAAGTACCTTCTGCCCCCTGCAGGTGGCACCAGCAGCGACTGAGCAGGAGTCTTAGCAATACAGGTATTGATTGACTTACAGCCTATGCAACTTACAACCATTCGACTTTACGACCACAATTGCTAACCACGACTGCTCCGCTGTAGATTTTTGGAAACACTACAATATTTTGATGTGTATCAAGAATATCGCTACCACCTGGGAGGCTGTGATGACAAAGTGCATGAATGGCATCTGGAAAAATTGTGTTAAGCGCTATGTTAATGATTTTGACGGATTTGACAGTGAACATGAACTTGATTCGGGAAAAAATAGTAAAACTCGCTAAAGACCTTTCTTTGGAGTGTGAAATGGAAGATGTCGAAGAGTTGCTAGACAAAGAATCTGGAGAACTTACAAATGAAGGGCTAATGGAACTGGAAGAAGAAAGAAGAAAAGCACAGAAAGAAGAGGAGGAGCCAGAAAGAAAGTTCACCACTAAGGGATTATCAGACAGTTTATCTTTACTGAATAAACTTCTTATACATTTCGAAGCAATGGACCCAAACATCGAATGATTTGCGAGGATTGAACGGATGGCGCACGATGTGTTTCGTCCATATTGTGAAATTTATGAAGAAAAAAAGAAACACACAATTCAGACAAAGCTCACCATGTTTATGAAAAAACCAACTCCGTTAACCCCAACTGCTGCCTCAGATGACGACATCAACGATCCGCAGCCAAGCTCCAGCAGCCAATAAAATGTTTTGTACATATATATATATTTTGATATGTTTTGCAATTGGGAAAATGTTTCCTATGGTATTTTTTACACCTGTATTTTGTACTTTTGTATGCACCTGTATTTTGTAATTTTGTATGTTTTGTAAATATTAAACCAGTTGTACTGGTAATGCAGTGTTTTACCTAAACCTGACGAATGTAAAAATAAGAAACAAAATGGTGTAGAGATGATACAAATGGCATAAAATGAACAAAGAAAATTATGATATATAACAATAATGAAAGAAAATTATGATAAAATATGACTTAAAGATTTTTATAAAGATTTTCACAGTACTGTACATAGAGCCTACTCAACTTACGACCAAATCGTGTTACGACCGGTCTGTCTGAACCAATCATGGTCATAAGTCGAGCACTAGCTGTACCAAAAAAAACAAAGGACAGTGGCATTGCAAGGACTTAGGAAACTACATTACCACCACCATTAAAACTAACACCCACAAAAGTACCCCAAGAATACATATGCCAAATCTAAGCAGATTTCACCAAATTAGAAGGTTTAGATAGAATCAAGAATATCCATAATAATCAAAATGTCTAGGACACGATTTTTTTAAAAAAATATCACCTACTGTGCCAAGGACAATCAACAAACAGCAATACCAAGATGAATCAGAGGTTGGAATCATCTAACAAGGACTTTAAAGAAGATATTATAAAAATCCTTCAGTAATCATTTACAAATTTATTTGAAACAAATGAAAAATGAAAAATCCCAGAAAATATTAAACCAAATGAGAATTATAAAACTAAAAAATATAATAAGAAAAATAAAAAACTTGCTAAGTGAGTTCAAAAGTAGAGATGACAGAAAATAGAATCCGTGAACTTGAAAATGGAACCATAGAATATACTGCATCCAAACAGCCCAGCACTAATAAAAACTGGACAGAACTTCCTAGCCACTTGATTCTACTACCTGTGTCCGTGGATATAGACAAGTTCATCTAAAAAATTTGGCTTCAGGACCACCTTACACTCTTAAAAATTATTTAGAACACCAAAGAGTTTTTGGTTTTTTTCATATTAAAAACTAAAATTGAGAAAGTTTTAAAACATTTATTAAGTCATTTTAAAATAACAATAACTCATAGCACGTTGTTTTTATAAAATTTTGTAAAAATAACTATATTTTCATGCCCCCCAAAAGAGCAAGAAGAGTAGTGCTGTTTTATACTTTTGCAACTCTCTACTATCTGGCTTGATTTAAGACACTATATTCTCATCTGTTTCTGCATTCAAGCTGTTGCTAAAGGTTTTAAACAAATGTAGTCAGACACTGATAGGTAGTCTGAAAATGGATATTATAATTGCTTTTTTATATCATTATGAACATTCTTTTTGATATTATATTAAGACTCAACAAATGGTGACTTCTTAAAATTAGTTGCTGTATAGAATCTGAAACCATATTAGTGAACTTTTCCATATACTTGCATTAAACCCCATTGGTCTATTTCACACTTTCGATGGATCTTTTATCCATGCATGATCCATGCACAATCATGCACTGGACATTTGAAAAATAAGTTATGCATATATTTTAACTGCTGAAATATTTCATCACACAATATCAGAAAGTAACATTTGCCACTTTCACTACCAATTTTTATCATAAGAAAATTCTCACTGTTGTTAAGCTGTCAAGATTATGGTGGTAAACAAAAGTGTTAGGAGCTTATACTTTTTGCTTGAAAGCGCAAATATATCACTAGCAAGAAATGCTGACATTTTTGTTTGAAAGTTGTGGGCTCACTTTGTTCATTTTCAAGAAAATGTCTGCCAAATGTCCAAGTCTGAAAACCATGTTGTTTCTTGGTCAGTCTTTCAAGTAAAAGTGCTTTTCCATGAAAAAAATTTGGCTCATCTCATAACTCAAGCAACTGACATTTTCCTTAAGACAACTGCGTTAGTTTGTTTTCATACTGCTATAAAGAACTGCCTGCGACTGGGTAATTTATAAAAGAAAGAAGTTTAATTGACTCAAAGTTCCTCACAGCCAGGGAGGCCTCAGGAAACTTACAATCATGGTGGAAGGAAAAGACGAAGTAAGTCACCTTCTTCACAAGGCGGCAGGAAGAGAATGCATGCAGGAGAAACTACCAAACACTTATAAAATGATCAGATCTCGTGAGAACTCACTATCATGAGAACCGTCCCCTCATCCAGTCACCTCCGTCTGGTCTTTCTCTTGACATGTGGGGATTATAGGGATTATGGGAATTATAATTCAAGATGAGATTTGGGTGAGGACACAAAGCCTAACCATATCAACAACTATTCAGGCTTCATGAACAGCAGAAGTGATTTCTTAGTGCTTTGTATTTCATCATCTAGAATACTCAAAACACATGCACTCATATGTTAACATTTAGCTACATTAATAATTTTTGCTGCTTCATCAAGGAAATTCCCAAGCGAAACTAGGTTGTTTTGCTGGGATTTTTTGTTTTTTACTATTGTGAGTGTGTGTCACTGAAAAATACAGTGACTACCATTATAGTTTGGTGTCACTTCCTTGATTTGTAGTAAGGCACCAGCAGTTTCACCTTCCATTGCTTCTGGACCATTAGTAACAATGTCAGTACAGTGTAAAAAAGGAAGCAACATCTTATTGTTATCATGAAAAATAAGTTTGACCTTAAGACCCTGCTGAAAGTGTTCAAGTGTTCTCGGGAGTCCCCTACAGTTTGAGAATTACTGCTATAGTCCATAGTTTGATATAACCAATATGATTCCAGCAGTATTTCAGATCAAGGGAAAATAGGAAATGTTACCAAAACACGATGTTTACTTTTCAAAAGCACTGAACCGTTGAGAAAGAATGTGGCAGAGGCCAGGTGTGGTGGCTCACTACTATAATCCCAGCACTTTGGGAAGCTGAGGCAGGTGGATCGCTTGAGATCAGGAGTTTGAGACCAGCCTGGCCAACATGCTGAAACCCTGTCTTTACTAAAAATACAAAAATTAGCTGGGTGTGCTGGCAGGCACCTGTAATCCCAGCTACTTGAGAGGCTGAAGAAGGAGAATCGCTTGAACCTGGGAGGCAGAGGTTTCATTGAGCTGAGATCACACCACTGACTCCAGCCTAGGTGACAGAGTAAAACTCTGTCTCAAAAAAAAAAAAAAAAAGAATGTGGCAGAGTTGAAAAGTGTGTACTTGGCATCAAATACATCTTCAACCCCTTACTTATGTCATAGTTCTAGCAAAGTAATTTCTTTATCTCAATTTTCTCATCTATGAACAATACCTACAGTTTGCTGATTGAGATTACATAAATGTATAAAAAGCACTTGGCATAAATTCTCAATGAACAGTGCTTATTAACTAGCTGTTAATCAAATGCTGGCTTGTGCCATTCCCTACATGGTCACCTTGTATTACTTAAATTGCATTTATGCCTTCTCTTTCCAGTGAGCTTGTAACGTCTTTGAAGAAGGAAGCATATCCATGTCAGATGACTCCCTAAGTTCCCAAAAA